AGGACAGGAGTGCCAAAAATGACTGACTCTTTGACAATTCTCTTATTTAATACTTTTATCTGCAGAGACGGTGATTCTGTTCCCTATCTTTCATTGACGACCACTGACTGAACTGTTCGCCGCCCGGCCGCAAACGTCACCTTCTTCACCTGTGGAGCTGCAAAGTGAACAGCGAGGACTGAGCGCGCTCAGTGCTGCTCTGCTCAGCCCCGGCCAACTCCTGCAAACAGGTAAGAGCAACAACCAAGGGACACACAGCAAGGAAAAAAAGACCCCTCATTAACTGAGAAGGAGAAAAAGTACTTTTATCTAATTATAGCAAAAGTCCTCAGTGGACCTGCTGGTCCAGGAGCAGATGTCTGAATTGTTGCATGGTGTTTTGTGATGTGTCTTTGTCTCTGCTCACAGACCCGTCCTGATAAACGGCAGCAGCCTCTAGCACCTGTTCAACTTCTCTGCAGACTTTGGACTAAGCTTCCTTCAAATGGACCGGACACACAGGAGAAGACATAGCAGAGAATATCCTCCTGATTTTTCTAAAAACGATGCAGATTCATTCATCAGGCATTTTGACCAAGTTAGACCCAGGATGAAAGAGATCATATATGAGCTTCAAAAGATCTCTGCTGACATAATAAACATAAAAAACAAATCCAACACAGTAACAAAGGCAGGAGCTGTTCTTATGGGAATCGGAGGTGTATTGGCAGTGGGTGCAGCTCCGTTCACTGGAGGCTTGAGTTTAGCAATATGTGGAGCTGGTTTTACAGGTTTAGTTGCTGGAGATCTCACTGTTGTTGGAGGCGCCATAAAGGACAGAACAATGTTAGTAGAATGTCAAAGGAAGGTGGACAAATTAACAGCAGAGTTCAGGACAATTGTTGAGTCACTGAGGACAGGGCTGACAAATCTAAAGACCGTGTGTAGAGAACCAAGAACATTTTCAGCTACAGACAATTTGACAGTTGTTATTAATGAGTATAAAATGGTTTTGCTAGAGTTTAAAATAGTGAAACTAGAGCTCCAAACACATGTGATGGTGCAAAGAAATTGAGGTTTGTTTAATGAAACGGCTCCAAAGAATTTGAGGTTTGTTTAATGAAACAGCACATCTCTGGTGTGTGTGTCAGTTGGAAGGAGGCTGTGGTGTGTGTGTGTGTGTATGTATTTACCAAGAACACTGTGTTTTCATAACCTTCTAACTTGTACAGTCGTGGTTCATGGATGTGTCGGGGTAGTTCTTGACAAAGTGTCTACAGTTTGGTTTGAAGTTCATGTTTTCTCTTCTTATAAATGTAGGATTTCCACAATGTTATCATCTGGCTTAACTTAACCCATGACAGTATGACTGGTCAATAACCCTCAGTGAAATACCTGTAAATATACCTTGTACATATAGAACCTAGACTGTGTATGTATGTATGTATGTATGTATGTACAGGCCTCTATTTATAAGTACTTTTTATTTTTCTCATTTCCTAATGCACCTTCCTTTGTTTGTTTGCACATTACTTTCTTTACTTCTGTTCTCAGCTTTATATTGTTTACTTGACCACTGGTGCCTTACATAAGGACGTGCACATTGAGAGCCACTGTACCAGAGTCAAATCCTCGTGTGTTCAACACACCTGGCCAATAAAACTGATTCTGAACCTGTAGCTGGATGTTTGCCTCGTCTGTCTCCTGATAAAATGCTGAACGCTGATTTAAATAAAATGGTCTGAAAAACTGTACTTTTGTAAACCTGTTTTTTTCCAGTGAAATCACAAAACTCTTCAGTACCAAGCCTAAACCTCTCTCATGTTTGTTTACTGGATATATCAGCAAA